TGTTTTTCAGGTTGATTGAGCTGGCGGCGGACACGAGAGGACGGGCGTGGTCGTCTTTAATTATATTTATATTTTCTGTAAACTCTATTGGAATTTGTATTCAATTTTGAATGTTTGAATTACAAATTGATTAACTGAAACATGTTTATTTTAAAACATTTATTTATGTTCGGAATGTCTTGATAGAAATAATAGCTTTTGTAATGTCAGTCGAAATTGAGATAGATTAAGTAATGCCCGTTACACAAATGTTTTTTTAAAAGATTTGCGAAAAATAAACTCTGGTTTTTAGAAAAATATTCGGTATTTTATCTTTTAAATAACGGGGCGTTACAATTATTATTATTAGTGGTATTGTAGATTTGTTAGGAAACTTATTTATCACTTTGTTAGGAAACTTATTTATCACTTTGTTAGGATTCTTGGCTTGTTAGACAAGTTAGTATTATTAGAGATCTTGTCTTGTTGGACAAGTTAGAATAGGGTTTTGGAGTCTTATTTAAAGGGCTCATCATATAGTGTTTTAGTCAGTTGATTATGAAAAAAAGAATGAATTGATTGTGAGTTTTATCGAGAGAGTATCTCGTTTTACGTGTTTTACGAGAGAGTATCTCGTTTACTCGTTTATCCTTCCCACTCGTACGCTTTCCCTACATCACAACCTATAGGTTCAAAACACTACCAACCCTTCAGCAATTTAAAATTTTTAACCATTGTACCAATAAATTGCTTTTTTTTCTCTCTCTTTTTTTTTTTTTTTTTTTTTTTNNNTTCTTTTGGTTTCACACAAAAACACAAAATTTGGGAGGTGGAGTCTTAGAATCTCCTTCAACTAGGAAATTGTAATGGATCCCACAACCCTTTACAATTCCACCCCAGAACTTCCATTGATCACTTGGGGTCCAATTCAGGTTGGCACCCACCACCTCTAAGTCAGAAACTGTCAGTACTTCATCAGGGTTAAAATTTAACTCTCTTTCTAAACCAACATCCTCCTCAGAATAACCCTAAACTTCAATTCCCACTTATTCTTTTTTTTTTTATATTTTTATTTTTATCATCTGCACTCCCCTTAGTAATCCCTCTAAGATCTCTCAAATTTTCCCATTTTTTTTATGGGCTTTTGATGACCTACCCTCTCTCCTAGAAACATCTAGTTTCTCCCCTCCTCCACACTTGCCTTCAGTTGCCTGCTCTCCTGAATGCATGACATGAATTCTCTCATCCCTTTCTCCCATAATTACATTTGATTCTACTTCAATCCAATTCTTCCCAATGCCTCCTCCTGATTCGAGAATCCGTCATACTAGTAGAGGAATCTAAATTAGAGATTCCACGATAAAGGGATTCTCGAGAGGTATTGGTTTATGCCTTTATGGTCATCTCCCGCTGCATGATAAAGATAAGCTCGTTTTCAAAAGTTGCAACATCTCGTCGTTCCTCTTTGAGAAGAACCTCTCAAACGTGTCCCACGTGTCCTTTGTCGTCTTTTCGTCTCTTATGTGCTTCACTATCTCATCATTGACTGTGGTCTTGATAGCAAAAAGGGCCTTACCAGCTCTAACCTTCCACTTCATTAAGGATGCAAGACCTTCCACTTCATTAAGGATGCAAGATTTTCCGGTGGTGTAGCCTCACTATCCCACATTATGTCCCATATATCTTGGTACGGATCCATGTACGTTGACGACGTACTGGTACTGCAATGTTGACTATTAAGCTTCTTGATACACCTTGACACTTGAAGGTCACCCATCATGGCTCCACTTCATCCCACTCCTTTGTTGTAATTGTTTTCTTGGCTGGCACACCAACTGAATCCACTAATTACATATACACAATATAAGAAAAACTGAATAAAAGATATTATGTGCAAGTGCAACAAATTATTTTATTTGTGACCGTGAATTATGTTCTTTGTTATTTTGTTTAATGTCGTGGAATAATTAATCAATTACTATTTTGATTTATGATCATTTCACATTATTTGCATCTTTTACAATATCCAATATTTTTTTTTTCTTATAGAAAGTCATCAATAATTTATCTTTCGTTTATTCTATAGAATAAACGAAAGATAAAACAACACTAATTAAAGTAAAATTATAATAAGCATTTGTTTGGCCATGAAAAGATAGAAGGTGTGAATAGATAGAAGAGTTTGTCTCTCTCGCCTCCGATGAATGTAATGTGTAGATGATGATATTTGGATCATGATAGGACTAATAAGATGGTGCATATGATATTTATTGATTTCAACTTGGGAAGTGGTCGTGAATTTGTCATATGCTTCGTGTTCTACTCAAGGTTTTGAAACTGAACCGATCATCGAATCGGTGAAGCTACCAGTTCAGTTGTTCACTGGTCAGACCAGTGGTCGAACCGGTTCAATTAAAATCAATTTTTATTTATTTTATATGTATAATATATAATTGTATATATTTTTATCATTATATAGTGTATAATGACATTTGTTTAAATAAATAAAAGGAAAAATTTGTTCCTACAAGCTTATGTAATGACCACATTTTGTAAGAACTTCTCCTACATGCTTATGCATAAATTGATAGGATCTTGGCAGCTTATACTTGGCAGTGTGGTCATTCTATACGTGTAAATTGGTAGGATCATTGGCAGCTAGTAGTACTTGTTATCTTGGATCTTGTGGTGGACAGAACTTCTAATAGAGATAGTAGGCCCTCTAACGGCCCAATAACTTTTTTTTTTTTAACGGCCCAATAACTTGGCAACTCTTTTTTTGCTGTGAACATCCCACATCAGACAAACAAAGAGAACAAGCCTGTTATTTAAATAGTTCTGCAACCACTTCTACACAAGACCACAACCGAGCTTCCGGGCTGCGTTGACAGCTATCGGTTTTACAGTTTTCGCGGTTTTGGTTCGAGAGGTTCTTAGCCGGTTTTGAGGCTCAGCTGTTCCATACCTCAAACCGAACTAGTGTATTGGCCGGTTCCCGGTTAAACCTGCAGATCCGGTCCTATTTTCAAAATCTTGAGGTTCTACTAAAAGCATATTACGTCTTTTTTTGATTTCTTTGGCATGGTCTGTGATCAATTCAGGTGGTGCTCGTAGTGTTACTATTAGAATATTGACGCTATCTTTGTACTTTATCCACTTGGTTATTTGCTATATTTCTTTCACCAAGGGTTGGATGATTTGGATGACATAATTATCTAGTGAAAAAACTTAATTACTGCATGCTTGGATTTTGATATATCTATCAATCCTCTAAATTAAATGTAACTCAAAATTGCAGATAACTTCCGATCACTTTTCTCCTATTTTTACATCAAATCAGCTTTTATCATTTTATTTACATATTATTTTAATGCAAACTCAAAATCCCATTAAACCAACTTTTTTTTTTCAAAATAAATTCTAATTAAAAAAAAAAATCAAAATTCAACACACCTATATCCAAGCGAGACCTTAGATATGATATTAAACTGGTATATCAACTGAAATACAGATTTGCTTAAAATATAGTTCTATCTCAAAATTTTAAGCGTTCGTCGTCTCATACAGACTAAACAACCAAGAGTGTGCATTCTCATATTCACACAACCCTTTCACTAAACAAGGCACTTGCACAACATACAAACTTGCTTTCCCTTCATGGCATGCTTCCCTGGCCATGAGGACGTCCGTAGTCTTCCAAGAAAGGAGCTTTCAGTATTCTTCCTGTTATCCATTAATCTAATTTCGGAAAAGAGAAAGAAAAAGGTCAAGAAAAAGAGGAAAGAACAATCTGAAAAAGATGATCAAGATTCTTCTTTGTTCAGATTGTGGACGTTTCTGAAGATTTGTTGTTCTCGGGCACGTTTTGCAGCAACTGCTTCGTCATCGAGTACCTGAATAGGCGACCATTCAGGCAATTTGAACCAGCTCTCTTTTTCTTCGACTAATTTTCTAAGGGCAGGCTTGGCCTTGAGGGTTGCGTAGTCCACAGCTGTTCCAACAGCAGCAAACATAACTGAATAACGAACAGCAACAATTTGGCCACCTGACAGATAAAAAAGGGTACAACGGTTATAGGAGAATTGAGGAATACCAAACTGCACTACGAAATGTCAAAAGACAATTCACATATTTATTTTTATTTTTATTTTTTCCCAACTGAAACAAGAAAATCAATGAAGTCCAATTTCACATTCAGCTAAAGTAAAAGAACCATTTCAATGCCTTTTTATGGAAGTGAAAATAAAAGTCCAGGCAAACATGAAACCCAAAATCAGGTAATTGGACCTTGTAGGCGCCCGAGAATAGCTCCACTACCAAAGCCTCCAATGACCGAGTTCCACAAGTCATCTGGCTTTCCGGTTCGGCTCACCCTAACAAACTCACGAGCACCTGACAAACCCAAGAGCTTAATACATACTCTTCATGTACGAACAAACAAAGCAAGTAATGTTCTCGTGACATGCATTGACCCATTTCGTCCATCCTCAGTTATTCTGTTAAGGCATATCTGTAATATACTCGGAATCATTACTAAATAGATACTTTTGGAGAATGCATCTTGAACATTTGAGACAAGTTCACCCTTTAATTAAAATCACAACATATAATTGGAATATGGGATGCATCTTGATCACATTTTTAGAATCCAAGTGTACACTCTCTTCCAAAAATATTAAATTGAATAAAAATAAAGAAAAAAGAAAAAAAATATTATCATCATGGGTCGACAAGAAAGAACTCAAATGATCTATGTTTGTGATCCAACCAAGGATCTATATGTTGTCAACCTACAATAAAATGCTAGTGCATGAAACACTTGTTTATTTAGAACCTAAAACTTGTTATTCCATCGAGTCTGGAAGGAATTGACTGCTACACCTATGTAGCAGTAATTACCAACTGCACATTCGGTTGGAACATCCAACCTTAGGAAAGAGCCAGAAAGTAGCATCTACAGTCAAAGAAAAGTGAAAGGCCATTCTCTGTATACTCCAGAAAATCATATAACAAAATTCCACAACCACAGCCATTTCTTGATATGAAATATCCATGAACACCATCCATACATAAATAAATCAATAGATAAACCAACAATCATCATCTTTTACGGTTTTACCACAACATATAATCAAAAAAGCAGGCCATCACATTCAATTCATAACCATATAGTATAGATTCAATATCACCATATTCAATTATTAAGGTCCCGAATGCGTGCCTTCATACTTTTCATCTCAATATAATGGAAATTCAGTTTCAGGGATATGACCAGTTACCCAACAAATATAAATCGATATATAATAAAACGATGCCACTCGAATTTTTGACAAACAAAATTTACAACATGAGAAAGAGCTAAACCAGAAATTTCTTAATGCTGAACCAGGCATTTCTGACAACCATAATATAATTTGAAGTTCAAACTACAAGTTCAAGTCTAACCATAATCAGTATGTATTACACATTTATTGTGGATTTAAAAAAAAGCTACAAATTCACTAAAAATGGCAATTGAAAACATTAATTTACCGCAATAGCAACCGGTGACGATGGCAAAATTAGATGCATAAGTGGCTGATATTTGGGAAAGCCCGTGCACATTTCTATGCTTTGATACCAATCCAAAGGCGGCACCAGCAACTCCTAGATCATACAAGGACAAAACAAACGAAAATTCGAACAATTCGGACTTTAGAAAATCATGAAAACAGTTCACAAATTGACTTCGTATTCAGCTAGCAACACACCTGCGAGTAACGTGGGGATAAAAATCCGCTCTTTCCATGTGACGGATGAAGTTGATATTGCCGGAGACGATGAAGGAGAAGCAGAATTCACCGGATCGTCAGCTGCCATCTCTTGATCTGGACGCTATTACAGAGGGCGGCCGTTGGCGGTGGTTCAGGGCGGCGATTATGAAATGACTGGAGTTTTACAGTAAACACATGGGCTAACGAGAAGCCTATCATATATAATGGGCTAGTGGGCTTATTATTTTACATTTGGGACCAGAATATTCTTGACCCAACATTGGGAAAATTAAAGAGAAATTTTTAGGGAAATTTTTAACCATGCTATACGATTTGAAATAAATTGTAATATTACCATTAATAACACTTTAATTGAGAATATATGAACGATTTATTTGCATTCATGCCTAAGATCGGTTACTGCTATTTTGTCAACCATATCCCATGTTTTTAGCCTACGATTTCCAGATTGAAGAAGGAAAGAATCAAATTTGAATTTGAAAAAAGAAGATACATTGATACAGACGGAGGAAAAATAAAAAGCAGAAGTGATCGTCGATCGTTCTTCATTCCCGAACATATACCAGAGAAAAAATTTGTGTTTTGTCAATCGTTCTTCAATTGATACGACGAAGAAAAAAATAGCTTCATCAATATAGAATTAAATCATAAGAGTAACGGCTTTGCGTCTCAAATGGAAAGATATGAAAATCGATCTTTGAAGAATAGTCATTTCTACACACAGTGACGGATCTAGAAATTTTAACAAGGGGGGCCCGATTTTAAATATTAAATAACGAGCTTGTAGTTTAAGTCAAAACACCCATTTCATATGAAAATGTATTTACTATAAATATAAATATTGATACGTGTACTATTAAAAACTTACAAGTTGCATCACTTTCAAACTTTTTTTAAGAAAATACACAAAAAAAAAAAGACATTTTATGTATTCATAATTTAAGTCCAACGTCTATAATTTACAAAAATATAAGTTTTTTTGGTTGAAAATTTGATTCAAATTGAACTTTTACACAACATTACATAGTATTTTTTTCATGAAAACTTATTAAATGAACATTTTTTTAAGAAAAAATAAATAGGTTAAAAATATGTGATTACACACACAAAAAAAAAGAATAAAAAATCAACATTAAAAAATGTAACAATCTACTAAATACTCGATTTTATAAATCACTAAATCGATTTACAGTTAAGAAACAAAAAGAGTAAATCATTATAAATATTTTCGGAAGCTTATCTAAAAATTTAAAATATAAAAGTTGTTAGTGTATTTTTCAATAAATAAACAATATTATCAATTTAAATAAAAATAGCATAGGAAATAAGTTTTAGTTAGTAATATATTATAAATATTTTTTACATTTCTATACATATTTTATACTATTTACTTTATATATATATATATTGATTTTTAATAAGTTTTAATTATTAATATACATATTTATAGTATTTATATTTTATAGTATTTATATACATATTTTATAGTATTTACATATATATATATATATATATATTTATAAAAAATGAGGGGGGCCCACGGGCCCCCCTGGGCCCCCTTTAGCTCCGTCATTATCTACACATATCGATTCGAGAAATTAAAACACAGAACAAAGCGATCGAATCTCCTGTACAAACGATTCACATCACAGGAAAAAAAAAGTGAAAGACGTTCGGGTAGTATATGTGTAGTATATTTTTAGTATTTTTCCACAGTGAAAGACGATCGGATCTCCTGTACAAATCGATTCGCGTCACAAAAAAAAAATGAAAGACGTTCGGGGAGTATATGTGTAGTATATTTTTGGTATTTGTCATAGAAATAAATTGCGTAGTTTAAATATTTTTAGTTTATGTTCAACAGTTTAGTTTTATATGTACAGTACAAATATATTTTTAGTTTATGTTCAGTATATTTTTTTATGTTCAGTTTATTTGGGGTCTATGTTCAGCAATATATTGTTTGGTTTATGTTCAGTATGTATATTTCACTAATCACTCACGATTTCGGAGCATATTTCACGTCACATAGAAGGTATATGTGCAGTATATTTTGGTATTTGTTCATAGAAATAAATTGTGTAGTTTTAATATGTTTGGCTTATGTTCAACAGTTTATTTTTATATGTGCAGTATAAGTATATTTTTGGTTTATGTTCAGGATATTTTATCTTTATGTTCAACAATATATTGTTTGGTTTTAGATATAAATGACTAAAATAAATCTACCAGGCATAACATAAAATAAACGACAACAAAAAGGTATCGCATATACCAAACATATAGTAGAAATAAACCATTGGATAATAAAAGTTCAAATACTGTTATTAATCATACAACATTGGTTCATCCACAGGGGACCAGAACAAAATAGATATACCAAAATTATAACGACAAAAAAGTGCCAATTATAAGTTCAACTAATACTTGAATTTTTGCAATAAAAAAGTTAAAACATCCAGTTGTTCAACACAAAAAAAGTTTGTACCCAAAATGCTTTCAATACAAAAGCAATTAGTATGTTTTCAACAAATAAAACGGTCTACGATGTCTTCCACCGACCGTCGTCAGACTGGAGATCGTCTGAATCAGGGGATGAAATGTGCTTTTTCACTACTGCGTTGCCTGCGGGATTGAGATTAGGATTAGGGTTCTTCATGTTTCTGTAAAAAACGAGCCTTTTCTAAACGAGTTTGGGTTTTGGTTTTGAAAGGATCTTCCGAAGCCGAGAACTTGACTTTACTTGTGGTATTTCATCCTCTTCATTCGTCGGTTGTTTTCGAGGATCGCGAGTGATTTTCGTCTTCGCCATTGAAGTATGTTGGGAAACCGATGAGAAGAAATTTTCTTTCTGTGGAGATGGTGAATGTGGGCGGTGAGGTTTTTTTTTTTTTGCTGCAGAGATATTGAGTATTAAATTTGCCCGTAAATTGTGTAACTTTTTCTTAATTATCTGATATAATTTAAATTGTTACTCTTAGGTATAGCAGCAATATTTTAGGTTTGGTTTGGTAATTGTATAAATATTTATATCAGGGGTGTATAATTATAATATATTTAAGATGCTTGAGTAAAGGGTACAATCTCCTCAATTTTTTAAGTATCCTGCACGATGATTTGGAAGTAATTGCAACATTACCATTCATAAAAATTTAATTGAGAATATACCTAATGGATAAGATTATTTGTATTCATGCCTACAATCAGTTACACCTATTTGGCAAACTCATTCCATGTTTATAGCGCACGATTACTGGATTGAAGATGGAAAGATATCATATTTGAATTTGAAAAAATAATCTTCATTGTTACAGACGGAAAAAAAACTTTGAAATGTGCATCGATCACCATTGATACGGACGATATAGATTTGTCGTTCCCGAACATATACCACAAACAAAAATTTGTGGTGTGTCGATCGTTCGTTTTTTTTTTTTTTAATGCAAATACCATTCACGAACCTATACCACGTTGAAAAAACAGAAAAATAAAAGAAAACAGAGGGGGTCGTCGATCAGATACTTAACATGACAAAGATTTTGGAGGTATATTTTCTGATATTAACCTTCATTCAATCATAGTAGATGTTGAATTTTTGTACTGATGGGTATATGTATATTCTTTTTTT